ACTACTCGCAAATGGTGAAAAAGGGGCTTAAAGTCGGTGAACATTTTTAATGTCGAAAGCCACAAAATAAATGTTGTTTTTCTTGTTATTCGGTTTATTTTAAAAAGCATTTCCAATTCTTTTTCGTCTTTCAATTCTTTCTTTTTAAATTGAACTATTAATCCATGAAGTGTTTTCTTGGTGATGGAAAATGTAGAACAGTTATTTTTCTGAAAATTAAAGTGTGAAGATTTGTGAAACTACGGTTTCCTCTTCTACAAGTAGCAGATTTCTTCCATTGGGAAATTGAGAACGGATATAAAATTTTAGAGATAGTTTTAAAGTGAGATGCGGAAATACATAAAGATTGTTTTTATTTTAATGAAACTACCTTCCCAAAAAGCATTTGTACATTTTTAAAGAACAAAGAAATATTCATTTAAAATTAATCCATTTTCTTAAGCTTGGTTTAGAGTTAATTGAATAATTTGTTTTACTAATAGTGATAATATGTCAAAGAAAGTTGACAAAAATAGAGTCCAGTTACGGGGCACAATTATAGTTAATCTTTGAGACGCAACATAGGGGCTCCGAAGTGACTTTTTTTTGTAATTTTATACTTATTATTCTCTTTTATTTAATATGTTCTTTGCTCCAAGCACCACCTCCTAATTAACTTATTAAGTAAATATTTTAAGGTAATCAGAACCATGAGAAATATGTAACTTACTTATCTAACCCGTCAATAGCTGCATTCTGCTGCTCCGAAGTAAGGTAAAAAACAACAAGTTTCTTATTAGAATTTTTAATTTGGACGTCAAGCAACTTAGCTTCTCGACTTTCGAAGTCTCTAGTCATTTAAGAGACTGCAGAAATCAATCTTACCAAAGCAATAAGCGATCTGTTGTGAAGCTAAATTAAAAGTTGTTTTAAAAATTCTGTTAAGCTGTAAAAAGTTGCTTGTAAATTTTTGTTTAATTATTATTATTATTTTTTTAATAGAAGATGGGAGGACTCAACGATATGTAGGCATCTGTATGCAATCTGGCCACGTTTCAATAAAAGGAAATCCAAAATTCTTATTGATACCCCGTAGAAATATTAGTCTTTAGGTAGGTTTACTTACAGGTCACTGTAAACTAGGAAACAATGCTTAAAGATTAGGTTTCCATTTCAATCAAACCTGTCGCAGCTTTGGGGAAGACGATGAGAGTGTCTCTTATTTACTATGTTTTTGCCCAGCTTATTTACGACGGAGCCCCCTTTCTTGAGGATCTTGATAAATTACAAGATCTGACACTAAATAGCATATTAGGCTTCGCCAAAGGTTCTAGGTGGTTTTTATGTTAAATAATTAACACATTCATGGCTTAATTAGCTATTTATTTTAATTTTAAAATAAATAATAAACACAATATATAAAATTTAGTGCACTTTGAATTTTGGACTGGTTCATAACACTTATTAATTGCGAAAACGTAATATTTAACGGATTGCAGTATTAATGCCAATATCTCAACAAGAGACTTTAGTAAGAGACCTGTTTTTCACCACATTTGGGTGGGGAATAATTAATATAAAATACTGTCACCTTTTCGAATTTTAGTGAAGAGAGATATTTTGAGCAACTTATTTTATAAAGCTATTACTTGATATACCTAGTTATGTTACGTTATTGAGATATCGAGTTTTAAGTTTGGAAGTTTTTAAATATAAATGACCGACAAATAAGTAGTTACTCGTAGTTTATCTTGTCTTTTTGTGTTTTTATCCTAAAATCAGTGCTTATTCCACTTTTACTCTTATTGAACTAACTACTTGGATAATTCACTAGTATGGAAAGTTAAAATTCTTAATACATTAAATAGCGTAATTGCCTTTTTATGATATCAGGCAAAAAAAAATTGACAAAAAAAATTTATAATTTTTAATGAGTTTAACTCTGCATTCTGATGAGTATAAGGACTATATATACACATAAGGTCTATAATATATTTTTTATATTACAAAATTTCTTACATACCACAGGACTTTCACGAGTAGTGTTAGAATAACATTTGTTGTGATTGAAGTTTGTTTTAAGCAGTTGGGGCCGCTGATGTTACTGAAATGCTCAGTTCATAAAATATTTTGGAGAAAATTAGTGCTACATATTTGACTTCGAGCTCATAATCCATGGAGAATTTATTTATCAACAGTGTTCTTGGGTATTTTTTTTTTCCGGGAAATAAATAGTGCTTTGGATTTTTGTATATTGACATTAATATTCCCTTCGTTTAAATATGGCATTATTCCACCTAAGTGTATTTGTGACTGATTGCTTATGATGACTTTATTATTTCATCGTGGGGCATAAGGTAAGTATCATTTTTAAATAAAGATAATGCTTTTCTAGCTTTCATTGAAAAGTCCGTTGTATATAGAAGTATAAAATGTTCAGCCTAAATTTTTTATATTGTATAGCAGTGGTTTTCGATTATTAATTTAAAGACGCTGTTTAGGATAGTGCTGTTCAGTTTGACTAGGTTATTTGGGATCCAATAATCTCTAGGCTCTATTAATATTCCAGCATGCCATATATTAACAAATGCTTTGGCAAGGCACAATACTACCATTCGCGTTAATTTTTTCTGAATCACATCTTTTTATTTCTTTTGCTAGATCATTGTCATTTTTAATTTAGTTGAGTGGTTTTCATAAATCCCCAATTAAAGCAATAGCAATAAGAAAGTCTTTTTGATTAATTGTTTCTTTTAGTAACTCTAGAATTACACTCTTAGAAATTTTTCCAATCCTCGGTAGAAAAGTCATCAGTCTCCAGTTGTGTGATATTGAATTTTTTTTCCCTGGTTTGGCGAATATGATAATTATAATTTGTTTTCATTACTATTTGTATATTGTTCTCAAATAAAGTGTGACATTAATGATTTCTAATATTCTGCCTATAGTATAGATAGGTATGTACAGGTTTTGCTGATGGCACTAATGCTGAAAGTTCGAATGTTGTCTATCTCTGTCTATATTTGAAAAGTAAGCTATATTTGCATACAGCATACAGCAAACAGTTACTCAAAATAGAGACTACTAATATCCGTTGTGACATTAACGTGCCTGGGAATTAGGAACCACTTTAAAAATTTTTAATGACATTAAATTCAGGTCTAAAATTTATAGACATTTAACATAATTAAAGTAGACCTGATTGGTGCATTGCGTTCATTATACATATGCATATATAAATTCTATACATAGTAACCCATTTGAAATAAAACCAATGTCAACCAGCTACAACTTCCAAACTAGAACCAACACTGCATTAGTGATTTGTTCAATCGATTTTTTCAAGCATACAGAAGTATTTAAAATTTTAGAAACCATTTATCTGTGATAGACTTCGATGTCAATAATGTGATAACTCACTATAATGGCGTAATGCTAATAATGGTTATTGTTAGAATCCTTGAACACTTCAATATGAACAAATCCTTTATGTCTAGAATCACAGAATGTTACAGCGAAACTGGCAGTGTTGCAAAACGCTACTGCGGTATTGCAAATGTGGTTCGTAAAGTTTTCTGTTTGTTTTTCTTCCTGCGTTTGTTAATGGTTTAGCATCCAGTAATTGATTTTACATTTACAGGTGTTATTGTAGTCCAGATCAATTTTAAAAATTGCAATAAAAGGAAAATGCATATTTTTTGTATTGAATGTCTTATTTATAACTAACCAATTACTTTCAATTAGGAGTAAACATTGTGTTTAGTTTCATAGCTCTGATTGCAATTAGTGCTTTAGTCTTCTGATGAGTGTTGTTAGTAGCAGGAGAATAATGAGAGGGTTGCTAGTCTGTATACCATTGACGCATAACGCTTGCAATTGAGGCTAATTTGAAGTCTGGATGAATGTTCTGATTTGTACCATTCTTGGTGCCATATTTTTAGACACTTTATATATTTTTTAAGTATGAGTATTGATTTCGATCAAGCAAATCGTAAAGTTGGCTAAAGAGACATTTGACATAATTTAATTCATTTACGTTGAAGTTTTTTCTAGCTATAGTAATGCCAACATATTGCTTTTATTCTTTTCATTTTCGTAAATAATACGAATGATTTCATTTGCGTTTATTTGTATTTCACATTTAAGAATCCATTCAAGCATTTTATTAAAATTATTTTTTGCTTTGCGCTGTGTCATCTACAAAGACTGCAATCAAGTTTTCAGAATCTGCAGATGTCAGAATGTTAGTAGTAGTAAATAACAGTAAACATTAAATGGCCGAGTATACTATCCAGGGGCACTATTGCTGTCATTTGATTGCGTTCAGAGGTCAGTCTTTTACTTTTTGTGAAGTAGATAGTATTTTACAGATAGTATTTTAATATAAAGAAAGTTAAGTTTGCTAGAAGTTGATGTGTTAATTTTGCGACTCTTTGTATTTTTCGTAGTAATAGAACGTATTTTACTAATGTCAGGTTGTGGTCTGTTAGTTTTTTATTTAAAAAACTTGTCTGTAGTTGTTCTTGTACTTGACTTTTTTTTATAGAACTCCGACAACTTTTTGTAATAGGGTAATGGGTCTATATGTGCTTATGTATGGGACGTACGTCTCTGTGTATTTCAGATTGGATATTAATTCTGATAGTCTTAGTTATCTCAAACGACTTACATAATTAAGCTATATTGTAATGATAAATATATATATATATATCTATATCATACTATAATAAATATATATATTGCTTCGAAATGGGACATCCTCTCAAAAAAACTGTAATATAATGGAGTTGGTAAATGTCGTCTTTTTTTCGTAATTCTTAAATATTGACACCTGCTTGTGATTTATGTGTTCAGCTATAAAAAGAAGTAACGAAATAAAATGAATAGAAATATAAGAACTTAAAGAAATGTTTATTTTTACTTGTCTCTTGGAATATAGTATGACAACATAAAAAATATGCTTTGATTAAAGGATAGAATTAAAGAAGATATAAAATGATAAAGCTGTGAAGATAGCTTACCTGAAAATATGTTTGACCCTTGTCCACCCAACCAATGGCCATATCCGAACCAGCGATTTTGCCGTCGAGTGAAAACCCAAATCCAACATAACCTAAAGTACGTGCTTGAATTTCAAACGTAATATCTTGATTAATGATTGTCCATAAAATACGAAAATCCTCATTTAAATCAACGGCATGATCCCAACTGAAGTCATTGCTAAACGCAGGACTGCTGACCGATGTAGGACAAACGCCTTTGAGCAAGCTGCTCACAACTAAACAGCATATAAAATATGTGATTAACGACAACATCGATGAACTTGAATGTTTCATTTCCGTCAGCCATACTGCGACAGCCATTGTACGAACTCTGTTGTATGTTCCCGTATGTCAATGACTCAGTGAGTGAGCATTTGAGGTTAATTGTAATAGTAAAAGATATACAAGTGCTTGGTGGCGTCCAAGTGTGCTCCTACGTGTTTATATTTGTGTGTATGGAAGACAGAATGTCAATGTTGTTTCAGTGCGATTTAGTTTAACTTTAATTAATAACGACGGTTGACCAGCATATTTCGTCACAGCAATTTTTGATGATATCAATTCTATACGCGCAACATTCTGGAAAATGACTCTGACTAGCTTCCGTTTTTATGGCTTTTAAATCCTTTACCTCCGGGCTTTCACACCCACACATGAATACACATATGCCATGAGCTTAATATTTGTATGTTTACGTGTTCGAGAATAGGTGTGTGCGTGAGGATTACTTTGGAGTACTCACTTACACACACAATTTATTAGGGCAATGGGAGTCACTTCGTAGTTGTGTTTAAAACAATTTTCCTTGTCGTTAGGCTTGTGCGGATCTGTGTATTTTTTCTTTATTGTGCTGAGGAGGCGCTTCAGCTGGTGTACACTTATAGAGACGTGTTTGCCACTTTTGTTAGTGTTTTGTTTTTGTAATGCCTGCAGTATCACAGTTCTAATGTTACCAAAATCAAAATGGAAACAAAAAAATATTCTCCGGACTACGAGCTCACTTTTTCGATGAGTTAAGCATACTGGCATTCAGGCCAAAATTATTTTTCATTTCTAAAATTCCTCTATAATTCTGCGTTAGGAACTGATGATTCTTCTGTTGTTAATAGTAGATTGCTGTACTTGCGAGCATTGTCAAATATCTGAGGTAATGGTAGAATTGATGTCGCTCTTTCGGTACAATGTTGTGCATACTAATGGCAAATTTTAGAATTTGATCGGTGTTAAATCAAATTACTGAAGCGTACAACTGCATTGGAGGATGACAAAATCGAAGGTTGAACTAAAAATATAACAAGATGTTTTATTTAACAAAAGCTTAATTACAGTTTACTTGTTTATATTATTTTTATAAAATGCCAAAGGGAATCAAAAAACACATTGCAAACTGAAAACACTAAATATATCGTATAATTAAGTAACAATTTGTTGAAATGATTAAAATCACGCATAACGAAACTCAGTTATTGCAGCTGAGCTCGCATGAGGTTGTTGAAGCACAAAGGAGTTAACGAAAATGTCGAATAAATGAAGCCAACCACAGCAACATGTAGACTTGATAGACTTGATAGACTTGGTATGAAATGGCGCATGTAGATAATTATCATTCATAAATACAATACGAATGAAGTCAACAACAAGTTTAATGCGTCAACAAGACATTCTCAGGTAATCTCAGCTGTACTTCGTGTGTTTACTGACTCTGCACTGGGTGAATTAAGGTAAATTATAAACCCGAAAGTAATTATTATACATTTTTTAACATTAAAAATAACTAACAATTTTATTATTTATATCGTTGGTCTGAGGTTATTATTATTTTAAATAAATCCTTTCTTCCGTTCAAATTATTTTACCCCAAACATTTTTTTATTTGCTAATATAAGAATTTTACAAGAATTCCTAAAAATAGAAAACGTATAATGTAATACTGAGAGATCAATTGTAATGAAACAGAGATCAATTTGCTATTAATATAATTTTAAATTTTGTAGGACCACGATTTTCAAGGAAGAGAAAAAATCAATCGATGGATTAGTTAGAGAAATTTTTGAAATTCTAAAACTTTTACATTTAATGAATTTTTTATAGAATATTATTAAAATTAATAATTGAGTTTTTACAAGCTTAATATTTTTGAGTCAATTAAAAAATTAAAGGCAAAATTAAATAATTAAAATAAATATTAAAGTTCACTTGTATAACAGTTAGAGTCATGTTATAAAGATAGTCATATGACGAATGATTACGGCCTTTTCACACTCTTTTTGGTCACAACCAAAAGGCATTTTGTACAGAGAGTCATATCACAATTATCAATCATCTACTTTTACTACTATTTTGGTACAATTTCTTGTGTCTAAGTTTAAAAGATATATGTTTTAGTATTAATATTCGTACCGTATTCATACAAATATGCACATATTCTCTCGTAATAGCCACAAACTCTGATATTTATTTTTGCGCAACAATGTTTTGACCAACGAGGCACACGAGGTCATCGTGACCAAAATTAAATTGAAATTTCTCTTTTTCTCTCATTCTCAATTTTTTAATTAACATTGAAAACAAAGTTTTTCCACTCCGGGTCTTAGTGCACGACACATCTGTTCACTTAATCTAAGTGGTCGCCTAGCTATAGAAGTTCATTGGCTCTGTTCCTTACGAGGGGAAAACAAAAACAAATTATAAATTGTCATTTTATTGTTTTAATAATGAATTTTAAATAAGTTTTAGTATAAAAGTTCGAAAGTAATTTCTTTTGCGTTCGTATTTAATAAATATATAGTAGAACTGCTCGGTGATTTGAGTATTTATAGAATCTTTTGTGAACATCTCACAACTGCAAGTAATGCAAAATCATCGATTCATTTACATCTAAGTGAAGAAAATGATTGTTTTTTCTTCTGAATTTTAGAAAACAAAACCTTCAAATTGTTTCTGTTAATACTACCGTCAAATATATATAGGAACTCAACAAAAAAATTTAATCTTGGATTCACGATTCAGAATTTAGAAGTTTTAAAGTTTCTTTTGAAACTATACGCATATGACATAATATGCTGTTCATTTTTTAAAGTCAAAATAATATAACTTACTATTTTATTAATAACTTTATTATTGTTCTTAATTATTTTTTCTTCTGTATTAAGTTCTATTATTATAGAACTACAGACTATAGAACCATTTCGAAGTATAAAATGATACAAAAGTTAATTTTTATGATTGAAGAAATGCAAAAGTGAATACAATACTTAATTGTATTGTTCCTTTAAATCATAATTAATGTTTTTATATATCTTCAAAACGTATTAATTAAACAGTTCTTTCAAGTTTTCAAAAGAACATTTGTGGCTAATAATTTACTCAAACCGACATATTACGGTTCGAGTACGGGTAATTATGCTTTTAGAGCGTTTTCACTTCCATAATGATTTCGTCTTTTTCCTTCGTGTACGACATTCACACATATATTTAGTGCCTTATTCGGTAAGTGATTTGAGGTCTTTTCGAGACACTTGTAGATATTATTTCATTTAAAAGTGTTGCAATTCAGATGCCGATGTTAACGTACGGTGATGGAAAGTGGAATAAATGTTGATCCATTAGATAAATGACTTTGATTATAATTGTACAGAGTTGTTCTTAACGCTGACGGCTACGTTTGTGAATGATGTTGCTGTAATACTAAATGAAATAGCATACTTTGACGCACAATCCACCGAAGGCGACAAAGTTGAATGGTGCGGATTGCATGCTGTTGCCGCATCCCACATTCATGAGTATAAGAGTGTAATAATATTATTTTGCGAATTAACTGAAGTCAGCCAACAAACAGCTCCCGGACACATATTAGCTTAAAACAAGTTGCTGGTCTTGTGAAGAGGCAGCGCATCGAAGAAAATATTTACAAAGAGAGATGAAATGATAAAAGAAACAAGGTAAAGTATAAAAAATCTTGTCAATGGCTTCTGTGTGCATCTTTAACTCGTTTCCGCTGGTTTACTAACCAGCGGAACTTTTTCTTCTACTCGTGACTGGTAGATTACATTACATTAACAGAATGTGCTAATTACGACTAAAGATTGTAGATACTGCAAAATCTAACTCATACAACTTATTTTCAGGGACAGCATTTCTGCACAAAGTATACAAGTTAAGCGAGATGGACAAGTGCATTGACATTGTAATCCGTCTTTTCCTTTCCTATTATAATTATATTAATTTTTTTAATGGCTTTTCATTCTAATTAATAATAAACAGCATTGCAAACATTTGCTTTTTATAAATGAATGTGATTAATAGTGATTAACTCTTAAACTGTCATACATTTCTCAAACCGTCCAAAAATTTATTGACTAATGGGTCGATATACAAAATTTATCTTAACTCAGCCGATATGTACGTATGGCTGCTTATTATTAGGTTTTACTGAAAGCACTAATAAATTATTTCATATAAAGGAGTTAAAATAAACAATTACCACCAGTATATAAATACGTACTATGGAAATTAACAGTTTCGTCATACTCAAACCAAATTCACTACATCCACATAAAGCTTATGAACTTAATAGTAGTGTGAAGTAATTGAGGCGAAGAACTATAAACTGGATATATTATGATATATTATTATGTTATATTAAGAGCTTTTTTGAATTTATAGATAAATCCTCAATAAAACTAAATGTTATGGAAAACTCATTATAATTCACCACTGCACTAAGCAATAATAATACTTCAGCGACAAATACTTTGTTTGGATTAATAAGTTTAAACGGCTAAAGGATTCAAAAATATGATGGCTTATTAAGCTTTTTCCTTATAATTTAAAAAAAAAGAGATTGATGCAAACAAATCTTTTTCCTTTTCGTTTTTTAACGCACTTAAAATAAACAACTTTAGTATATAATAACTCTTAAATGATTCAAAAATTTTAAACTTAATTCTTCCATTTCTTCTGTCTCAGTCCAGTACTGAAGACAAGACGACTGCAATGTCTTGGGGATCGATTTTTCACGGGCCTGGAAGAGATAACGAAAGCATATTATCGGATCTCCTCAACTTTATTTAAAAAACCAAATGGTTTAACAAGGATAGAATATAACAAAGTCCTAACCTCGCCTCTTCTATATAATCTTTGAGGGTGTCACAATGCTTCCGAGTGGAAGTGCTGATAACTGTCAGCACACGTCTTTTCTATCTAATCTTGAATTTATTTTAACATTTATTTTTAGAATTTTAAATAAAGAAAGAAAAAATTAGATGGGAGGCAATCTATGGAATTCGATAACTTAAAAACTGTCAATCTCGTAATACTTTTTTAATAAATTAAATATAAAAATTATTTATGTTAATTAAGTTAAGACTTTTTGAATACCATAATTAAAGTTGTAAACTCATTACATCTCTGTTATCCGCCATAAACAGAGGCATATGCATTTAGCGGGCAACAGAATAATTTCAATTATTATTATTATCTCAATTATCCACTTATTTAGTGGAATAAACAAGTGGAAACTGAAAGAATGTAATTAAAAAAATTAAGATCGAAAAATCAAAAATAAGACAGCAATTCGATTAGTAAGGACAAGATAGGATATTTTGCTCCTCAACTACCAGGGGCGATGGTAAGACCAATTTCAAAAGCCACACTAATTATTTTAGTTACAAGGTTTCACACAACTGAAGAAAAGTCAGTATTGCTAGTGTTAAAGACAACAGCCACTAGAAAAAGACTAAGATACAACTAAGTATCTGAAAATATTTTAAGCGAGCTTCCTGAAGAAGCAAAAATTTTGCTTTCCTTAATTGAAACTAACTGAATTTCATTATCCAACTGCATTACTTTTTATTGCTTGGCAGTATAGCAGTAAATGCAGAAATATCTAAACCAGGAGAAGATGCAACAAATCCCTTATCATACAGTTTTCTACTGATGCTTAACTGCACTAAAGCTAACACTATCAAAAGTGTTTAAGAAATTACTGTATGACAGAATACAAGCCATATTGAATAGTAAACAAATAATACCTAATCACTGATTTGGATTCCGACAACAATTCAGTAAGTACTTCGAGTGACACAGAAAATCCAGAACGACCTGGGCAACACAAATTTCTGCAGAGGTGTTTTTCTTGATAACTAAAAACTTTTCACAAGGCGGACTACTTAAAAAATTAAAACAAATACTACATATTACTTTATATATGAAATATGTCCTATTTAAAAGATCCTTTTATATAAAATACAAATATGGATACTCTATTTTGAGA